CTTGGTTGTTGGATTTCAGAAAAGCTATTATGTTGAAATGATCCTGCATCCCAACTATATTGCCAGACTGATCCTTACTTGATAGCTCTTGATGTAAACATTGGGATTAGTAAGGAATATAGACTATAAGTATAGTCACTAGGGTTACAAAACTAGACTAAGGTTTAGTACTTTATGCGTCTAGGTCTTTCCAAAGTACGAAACGAAGCGCTGCCGAAATCGTTTGTCGCCCATTTTCATTAAGTGAGTGCATAGTCTCTTTCATGAATATAATTTAATATAAGTGTTGATTAAATACTAAATATTTGTTGGGAGTCGTATGTGAGAACCAGATATGGTTCTATGTCATGTTAGGATAAAAATATAATACTACAAATATTCAAAGTAGAATTGTTGAGAAGATAAATGATTAATAATACATAATACTCTTATGGAATATATATATATATATATATATATACACACACGCGCGCTAAGGGGTTGTTTGATAGTTACTAACCGGGCTAGAACTGATTGAGTTAGAAGCTGACTCGGTTGGAAGTTCTGACTAAGTTAACTTTCTACTGAAATTTATTTTTTGATTTTTCATCTAATTAACTGTCTAAAATGACTGTGTTACCCTCAAACATTTTTTTAATAAAAACATTCAACTTATAGTAAAAAAATAAAGAAAATAAAGATTTATAACTTTTGTTTGGAAAAAAACCACTCAAACAAATTTTTTTATAAAAGCATTCCACCCTGCTTGGGTTAAAGATATCTTTTAAAACATTAAAAAAAACATACAAGCAAATATACACACAAATCATTCATCTGTTTTCATGTGGAAATATCAAAAAAATTAAGAAATTCATAGCATATAAAACTCATTCTTCTCTGTTTCTGTATTCTGTTTTTACACAAACATACACACATTTTTTGCATAAACACAAATATATAGCCTAATTCTATGAAATTCTTCTTCATTATCACCAATCCAAGCTGGTATTTCACCTATTATCCAACAATCAGCAAAGAACAAAAATCAAGAAAACAACCAAACACATAATGGTTAAACAAAAATCAAGAAACAAACAAACACAAACATACCAGAAATCCAAACAAAAATTGATACCATCCATAAACAAAGACAAGTATTTGAACAACCAATTTGGGAATCGATTGTGACTTAGAATCATTTTGCACAGATAGAGAGGAGATGAGATCCGAAACCAACAAGAGGAGATGAGATCAGAAACTAACAGGGAAGGGGGCGATGCAGGGAAAAAAGGACAACAACAACAATAACAATAAAAAATCGAGAAAAAAAAAGCAAATAACATCACATTAAGCACAAATCGAGAAAAGCAAGTGCACATCAACAACAAAAGGAACAAAAGAAGGAAAACAAAGTATGAAATCACATAAAAATTCAAAATTTCCAGCAAGAATCGAGCAACAAAAAAATGAGAAAAAGGCAAGGAAGACTAACTTGGTGAGTAGGCGTCTCCAGTTGAGTGGTTATTGGAAGAAAGAAGTCGGAGAGTAGCAAATCGGAGTTGGGAGGAACGACGTTGCTGCCTTTTTTCTGTGGAGGTTGTCACAAAGCATAGGGAGAAATCGGAAATGGCAAGGCAGCGAACGTTTTTGTCCTGGTCCATCAATTGAAAGTGAAGGACCGAATCAGTCCTTTTTCTTAGACCGAGTCCTTGATTTTAAAACGAAATCAAACCTTCTAATTGATCTTTTTTGGACCGGGTCCTCTATTGGACCCAGTTAGAAGCAATATCAAATGAGCCCTAAAATAGGTTAGTGTCGACCAAGAATAAAGTTGGCATTAAAAGTTGGCTATGGGCACTGTAATCAAGTATATGGATAAACTTAGACTCACTGAAGATACGTAGCTCAATTAAGTTTAATATTAGGTAGTCTCATTTGGAGAATGTGCGTAACATAGGAACGGAGAGTAAATTTATGTTCCATGACACTATCAGGTGTCGATGTACGGTCTCTCCATACGGGATGACCAGAAATGGTGGGTCCCGATCAGGCAATTGTTAGCGGTATGTCTGGTCACCCCCAGATTAGGTGACAACACTTGATCTTTCTAGACGATCTTGTGAATTACGTTGCTAGTGTGAGCTCATTACTCACATACATAGATGAAATGGGACACCATATTCATCGACTACTCTGATGGCCCATATACCTTTGTGACTTACACCGTCCAAGGAAACCCTTAGATGTGTAGTCAATCTTAACAATTCATCAGGTGAGATTATTTCTCCCTAATATTCATGATATAGGATCTGTGAGGATCGGTAGGAATGGGTAGTCTAGGATATGTGAGGATGTGAGGATCGGTAGGAATTATATGTAGGAATAATTATTGTATGGTAGCGGTTGGTTTGCAGGTATGATAATTATGGAATATTATCATATCGATATTGTGGGATTGAAATCCCTATGTATCTTACTAGGTTTCCCCAACCCGACCCATTCAGTTTATATGCATCACATATATCAAGACTCAAGCTAGTGGAACTTGATTAAAATGTTGAGTGATTAAGAGACAACCTACAATAGCATTCAGGATCATTAGGTCTTTACATTGTAACTTATGTATCTGTATTGATTATGACATCCTTAGGGTTTTAACATTTTGGAAACAAACATTTGTAATTAAAGTGATCTTATTACTAGGATTTTTCCACAATTATAAATAAATGCTTTTAAAAACATAAAGAAAAGTTATAACTGGTTCTGAAAATTAGAGGATGTCACATATGAAATGGTCCTCCTAAATTCTATGCTCGAAAATCAGAAGAAAGAAAATAATATGAAACAGACGAAGGTTCGTGTATGGTACTCTCCAATCATAAAAAATAAATACGAGATGAGATTGTTACTTGTGGGGCGGAGCTAGTAGCTGCAATGACGCTCCGGTAGGGGGAGGTTGGTCGGTGACAAAGTAGGGAGCTTGGTGAGAAGGTAATGGTGTCTGATGAAGAGCGTCAAAGAGAAGAAAGAAAGAGGCGAGGTTTTAGACACATTTGTATTTCCGGCCCATTCAGCCGGAAAGATATGATTTTGAGACTTTGTGGGAATGACATAGCTTACCAGGAAAGACTCCTTTTGTAGTGCAAATTAAACAGTCTTTCCGGCTCATTCAATTAAAAAGATATGTTTGAATCTGAAAAAATATCTATCAAACGTGACTTTAGTTTTAAATTTCTCTTAATTTTGTCTCGTTCCTAATTTTATATTATTTGCTTTAATGGGATAATGTCTTATTTGTGTATTTTTGTCTTTTTTCTTGTTTAATCAGGAAGGGTATTAATGTCAATTTTAATTATACGAAATTTGTCAATACTTACAAAAAAATCTCCACGTCTATAAGAGGAATTTGTAAATCTTTTCCCTTTAGGTATTTTAAGGAAAATCTTAAGTAAAATCCATAAACTTTGGCCTTATTTATGAAAAAGCTATGACTTTACTTTTTTAAACAAAACAAGCAATTGTTATATAAAAGGATAAGAAATCGAGAATCATTTACACATTCAAAATTTTAGACGGTAATATTTTATCTCAATCGGTAATCTTCAGAGAAAATTCTATATTTTGGTCTCATTGATAATAAAGTTATTGATTTTTTTAAATGACAAAAAATAAGATAAAGAGTATTATCTTATTGTAACTAGGTTTAAAATCCGTGGAAACCACGGTTGAAAAATAAAATTACTATTCATAATTTGAAATCGGAATGACTAATAAATTAAATCTTATCTATTCAATGAGGTGATGAATTATCCGTTTAATTAAGTTGGTCTAAAAAAATCAATGTCTCTTTCTTTTTAAAAAACATTCAATCAAACCACATTTACATCCTCTTGTTGTTGAACATGAGATGCCTAAAAAACCTGCTTAAATGAATTAAAAGTGAAACATAACTAGATTAGTTTAAATTTTCATAATTGAAGGTTAAGGTGCAACATATTGCGATTACTCCAAAATTTAATAACCAGAGGTTAAAAACTATAACATACTGAATTCCAAAATTTGATATGATTTTTACAAGAATCAAAAAATAATTTGGATAAAACTAAAGCTTCCTACTTATTTTTTATTTAAAAATACAATTCATAACGAACCATTGAAAGTAAGATGCTGAATATAAACGATCCGTGTACTACACAGATGATAACAAAATTATAGTCATTAATCGTATATTTGCATTCACTTTTTGTATACAACATTAGATAATATAGCACCTTACTTTGACTTTTATTTTTTGATTAAAGAAAATATTGAGTAACACTAATGGATGAAATCTAGCAGCAAAGTGCTCGAAGGTAATTACTTATTCATTGAAAATAAACACATAAATGAAAAAAAAAAAAAAAAAAACATATTAGTAAATCACAACATAAGCTCGTATATTGCTTCAAACTCATGAAAACCATTTGCAGAGGTCTCCTAGAATCTGTAAAAAAAATTGAATGAAATATGTCAAAAATAGTTATTATATGTAAAAAAAAAATTAAAAGGGACTACTTTGCATTAGTCCAACAATATCTTCTTCCAAGAGTTTTGGAGCAATTACCTGCAAGTAAAATGGGTTCAAGGCGCCACTTTTAGAAACGAAAATATCCACAACACATACATAACGTAAGAGCCATTTACTTGAGCTTAACCATGGCAAAAAAAAAAAAATAACAATTGAATTCGAGTCAAAATAGCGGATGAAGCGGCTTTTTGGAGCAACACCATCTACACTTATCATGTAGCTGCCTACACCAAAGAGCTAAAGATGACTTATGAAGGTATTCATTCTATGTAATAGCAACATCTCAGTCAAAAAACTAAAAATAGTTACAAGCTATTTTCAGGTAAAAGCATGATTTTATCCAATATATAGGATAAAACCGAAATAAGATTGCCAATCATTTGAAAATATATCAGGCACTGTTAGTTCTTATATCACCATGGAATACTCACAAGGATATTTTGGACATTTTGGCTCAATTTAAATCCAGCCAACTTATTGTGCTCTCAATATCTGCAATGATGGAACAAACGATCAAGTAATTAAAAAGTTATTTAATCCACAACATAATTGTTGAACACAACTCTTTGTGTGGGAAACAACAAGACTTTTATTAAGACACTTAAGAAGAACGTACACTTTGTGAGACTACTACACACTTTGCTTTCTCTGAGGCTTTCTTGGATACTTAGATGTTGGATGGTTTGGAGAAAATAAGCTCCACACCTATTTATAGTTGTTTCCACCTCCTTATAGGAAGTTTCTAGATCTTCCTACAAGTTACATACATTCATGAGTGTTCTAGAATCTTCCACCATAATCTATATCTATTACATGCTTATATATGTTTCTAGAATGTTCTATAATGCCCTAGATTAGTCTATGATGTTCTTGTGTCTTCCATAGTGTTCTAGAATGTTCTATAGCCTTCCAAGGTCTTCCATGTCATTCTAGACTCTTCCAGTATATTCTTGAGTCTTCCATAGTCTTCCATAATGTTCTAGAATCTTCCAGAACATTCTAGAACAATCTAACTTCTTCTAGATAATAATATTAGCTTTATTGGGCTAGTGATGATCTTTAACAATAATAAGTAAAAAATTGAACAAAACTTTATTTCAATTAAAATAATTCACAATATGAAGGTGTGATTTCTGGTTGGGTATTAGGGGTGGGGCTGCTAGCTGGTAGGTCCAAAAACTAAGCATAAACATTAACCATTTGGGTGTGTCTGGTCCAGTATAAGGAAACATGGATTCATTGAGTTGTGTCCTGTGTGGGTTGCAACAAAAGGGAAAAGAAAATGAAAAGGGATTCATTATGTTACATGATGTGGTGAGAATAAATGTTGCAAGCTAAGCACACCTGAGAGATAAAATGTACCAATTTCTTCTTTGGATTTCTTTTCAACTATATCTCTAGAATGATTTTTCAATTATAGTCAGAAAGTGCATGTTTGAGTCTCAAGTTATGCTCCCTTTACTTTTGACTGCAGAAACACCCGTATAATTAATTTAATAAAAAAGATCAAATCATATAACCAATATCAATTGATAAAAGAGATAATAAAAGAGCATGGTAATAAGGTAATAGGATTGTGTTTTCAACATCAATTTGGAACTGTTTACACCTTATAACCAATAGAATTGTTTTTTCAACATCAGTTCCTGACAGAGAAGCCATTAACTGAAAAAGAATGGGCAACAATACTAGCAATCAAACTACCACCTCCCACAGGAACAAATACGGCTTGAACTTGACCTTGCATTTGGCACACAATCTCTATTTAAACAAACATATAAATACCAACTCAAAGGCTTGTTTAATAGGTACACAACAAAAGTTAAAATTGAATTTTAAATTATATAGCAGAAATCAATACACAATATATCATAAACTAATTGGTAGATTAGGGTTTTTTCACTTGTATAAGAACAATATTGTTACTGGTGTCGATCTCAAATCCTAAGAAAGTCTGGACACTAAATCAATTGTGTTGGATTTCAATTTTTGATGCAATAACCAAAACATTACAGAATCCACATAGGTTTGAAGTAAAACCAGTTTGTGTGATCTTAGGAATCAAAATGTTAATAAAACAATGAGGAGAAAAGAAGAACCAAATCCAAAAGAATATAGTTTGAACGAATTTCTTCTTCCTTAGCTTCATAATCCAAAACTCGTCTCAACAAAAGTTAACTTAAGAAGATCATAGTACACAATGTCTGCTACTTGAGGTCTTAAGGAAAAGAACTAACGATTGAGGTTGATTTGGGCCTTAAGCATAGTAGAAACATGAATTAGGGGGTGTAAGAAGACATAATATAGAATAGGCAATCAACCATAAAAAAATTCAAATGCAACGTGGAACAACAACAACAAAAACAACAACAATAAAAAGCCAAAAAAAAAAGTTGAATTAAAATATGGAGAAGAAGCTTTCAGGCCTGAACATGGTGATGAGTCCGAATATTTCAATCCAGAGAAAGTTTGTGAGGATTAGGGTTTAGATC